CTGTAGTTGGTGAACTTCTCCATGCCCCGCAGCTCCACTCGCTCCCGTGTGGTCGTGATGTTCTGCATCTCGCCCCACTCTGCGGGGAGATGATGCCCGTCAGCCCCTCATCACCGCCCGGCCGCGGCCCCCGCTCTCTGCGAGCGCTCACCTCCATCCATGTAGAGGGACCAGAAGATGACCCGGTATCCCTTGAGCACCCCGTTGAGGGTGCTGCGCGGAGGCTCCGACCAGGAGATCACAGCCACGTCTGACGTGATGGAGATGGCCCGCACGTTCTCGGGGGGCTGGCTGGGAACTGAGGAGGGGACGGACGGGGGACGATCAGCAGGAGGATGGAGAGGTGGCACGTACCCAGCAGATGCCAGGCTGGAGGAGCCATGTCCCACAGGTCAGCTGCCTGCACCTGCATGGCACCCCACCGGGCTGCACCCCCTCTCCCCCAGCTGCTCAAGCCCCTGGAGCTGGTCCCGCCCGGCGTGCAGGGCACCAGGGCTGGGCAAACGCAGCAGTCTGCCTCTGATGGGCAGTTTTGCTCCTCCCAGACCACCGAGGTGGGTACAGCCCCCGTGCGCATGGGGATGGGGAGGCCGCTGGGACACACTGCGCTTCCCAGCGAGGGGAGAGCGGGAGAGCTGGCTGGATGCGAGGTAATTAGATCCCATTGCCCCACAAGAGGTAACTCTAATTTTTACGAGCATTTAAATGACAATACATCACCCTAACGATCCTCTTTGAAAATGATTATTGTTTCATATTACTTAGGTGCAAAAACATAAGCACCATGTAATTAGGGACGGAGTATAATAAACTAATACAGATAGTCCGTTTGAACAAAATGAAGGTAATATAATTATGGAAAAGACACTATTGCTAAAAGAGGGGCCCCTGAATACCCCAGGAGGAGTGCTAATGTAGCCAGGAAATGATAGTGGTTTGACAGGCTAACGAGAGCCTTAATTAAGTATGAAAAACTGCTGAGCAAACACGCTGCAAAACTTTTTTCATGTTGTTTCTAAAGCAACTGAGGCCACCAGCAGCCTCCCCTGGATGGAAACCTCCCTGGCCCTTCAGCAACGTGTAAATCCTCCTTGATGTTTTCCTAATCACGCCAGAAACACGGTGCCATCGTTGTCCTGGCATCCTGCGCTCACAGCTCCTGCCGGTGGGCAGTGACCGCCCTGAGACAGGGCAGGGAGCGGCCACGGGTGCCGGGATTCCCAGGATTCCCGGGGCAGGAGGACCCCCGCAGGGGGTCTTACCGTCCTCCAGCGTGGTGGCGTTGATCTCACTGGACGACGGCCCCGTCCCCGCGCGGTTGAACGCCTGCACCACCACCCCGTACTGGGCGAACTTCTTCAGGTTGTCCAGCGTGTAGACCTCGCTGTCTCCCGTGGCCTTCATCTCCACGATGCTGTACTGCCCGTTGCTGCCCGGGCTGTTCTCCCGGTACCCAATCTGGTAGCCGCGGATCACCCCGTTCTGCAGCTCCTTCTTGGGGGCCTGAGGAGGAGGGGGTGCAAGACGAAGCGGTGTCACGCTGGGCCACGCTGCCCAGCACGCAGCGGCTCGCAGGGCTCCCTTCCTGCGACCACCCCTCCCTGGCATCTTTTCTCAAGGCTTTTAAACCTTCTCTCCCCACAGCAGTGCTCATGCCCAGTGGCAGAATGGCGATAAAAAAGGGCCACTGGGTCCTGGGGGGCCACTGAGTCCTGGGAGGCCACTGGAGAGGAAGGTGCTGGCTGGGCAGCGGGACGTGCTCAGCCGGTGCCGTTCCCCGACCGGCGCAGCTCAACGAGAGGAGGGAAAAGCCCCAAAGCTGACAGCCTTAAACACGCACGAGGCCAGGTCGAGATCAATCTTAACAATATTTCTCTGCAGCATTAAGAAATCAATAAGGTTGATTGCAAATTTATGTTACAAAGCCAAAGCGATCCATCTCACCGAAATACTCCTAGAACGAAGTGACTTATCTTTCCCGTGAATCTTATTTTCCATTAATTTGTTTTTCAGCGCTTAAGGGGAGGGGGAAGAAGCTGGAACCCTAAATTTATTGACTTACCAGTCCATTCCGAAGTCCTAACTTTATAATCAATTTTATTTTTCATTATGCACCTTTGGAAAAATAAATCCAATTCTAACTTGTATGGATCTTTAAGCAAACGCTTTGCAACCCAGCGTCTCCGTTTTTACATATTCATCCCCTCTGCCCCCCCACGGCCCCCCGCAGACATCCTAAAAGATAAGGAGCTTGTTGTAAAACATGATTAATAAGGACCCTGTGCGATGGAGCTGAGCTGCACGCCCAGCGTTCAGGTTCTCCTATCGCCCAGGAAATCCTTCCTGGCCCTCGTACTGCTGACGGAACGCCGGTCCCAGGACAAGCTGCTGCCGCGGAGGCTCAGGACA